CTCATGATCGGCTTGTGGCACTGCTCACAGAGTGGTTTGGGTTGGAAGGGGCCTTCAAGATCATCGAGTTCTAACTCCCCTCCCATAGCCAGGGACATCTCCCACCAGACCAGGTTGCTCAAAGCCCCATCCAGCCTGGCCTTAAACACTTACAGGGATGGGGCAGCCACAGCTTCTCTGGACAACATGTTCCACCACCCTCACAAGTAAAGAATTTCTAACTAATATCTAATCCAGATCTACCCTCTTTCAGTTTAAAACTGTTACCCCTTGTTCTGTTGCTCCACTCCCTGATCAAGGCTCCCTCCCCATCTTTCCTGTAGCACCTTTAGGTACTGGAAGGCGCTATCAGGTCTCCCCAGGACCAACAGCCCCAACTCTCTCATCCTGTCCTCACAGCAGAGGTGCTCTGGCCCTCTAATCATCTTCGTGGCCTCCTCTGGACCTGCTCCAACAGGCCATGTCAGGGACCCCAGAGCTGGAGGCAGTACTCCCCTCCATTTTGTGCAATGAAGAGAAATAGGGATCACTTGGGGCACCAGACTAAGTCATTGGAGACTAATTTAATTCTCAGAAAAGGAAAGCTCTTCTAGCTATTGATTTTAAAACTCTTCTGCCCTTTTCTTGTTAACCTAAGGGATGTGCTTTCTTGTGGTTATGAAAGCTCTGAAGAGCTCACGGTAGCCTGCATTTAAAAGAAGAAAAATATTCCAGGGTTCCAAAGGCCAATATGAAAAAGCATCGACAGTAATTACACTTTTGAGGAGAGGAATCCAATTCAAGGCCCTTGTTGTCTACAGGCATTACATTATAAGAGAAAAAAATAAGGGAGTTTCTCTCAAATTATAAAGACTGAACTTGGTCAATTCTATTCAGATACCAACAGGCTGTCAAACATATCTGGAGCACAGGTACTATAAGGCATAGCAAGATACCTCACTCGTTCTTCACCACCTTTAGTTTCTCTGGCTTTAAATTACAGCACCACACCAACACACATCATCATACGTTAACAGTAGTGTGTTACATATATATCTAAAGATAACTCAAAAAACAAACCCCAAAGCAAGCTATAGCCAGAAGAAATTGTCATCTTTAAGTTAGTTGCTGATGGTAAAAACCAGCATTACTCACACAGCAGCAGCGAGGCGGCTGGAATCTGATTCGTAGAGATCCCATTGACACCGGGCACTGTCCATAAGTCTCTGGACAACATGTTCCACCACCCTCACAAGTAAAGAATTTCTAACTAATATCTAATCCAGATCTACCCTCTTTCAGTTTAAAACTGTTACCCCTTGTTCTGTTGCTCCACTCCCTGATCAAGGCTCCCTCCCCATCTTTCCTGTAGCACCTTTAGGTACTGGAAGGCGCTATCAGGTCTCCCCAGGACCAACAGCCCCAACTCTCTCATCCTGTCCTCACAGCAGAGGTGCTCTGGCCCTCTAATCATCTTCGTGGCCTCCTCTGGACCTGCTCCAACAGGCCATGTCAGGGACCCCAGAGCTGGAGGCAGTACTCCCCTCCATTTTGTGCAATGAAGAGAAATAGGGATCACTTGGGGCACCAGACTAAGTCATTGGAGACTAATTTAATTCTCAGAAAAGGAAAGCTCTTCTAGCTATTGATTTTAAAACTCTTCTGCCCTTTTCTTGTTAACCTAAGGGATGTGCTTTCTTGTGGTTATGAAAGCTCTGAAGAGCTCACGGTAGCCTGCATTTAAAAGAAGAAAAATATTCCAGGGTTCCAAAGGCCAATATGAAAAAGCATCGACAGTAATTACACTTTTGAGGAGAGGAATCCAATTCAAGGCCCTTGTTGTCTACAGGCATTACATTATAAGAGAAAAAAATAAGGGAGTTTCTCTCAAATTATAAAGACTGAACTTGGTCAATTCTATTCAGATACCAACAGGCTGTCAAACATATCTGGAGCACAGGTACTATAAGGCATAGCAAGATACCTCACTCGTTCTTCACCACCTTTAGTTTCTCTGGCTTTAAATTACAGCACCACACCAACACACATCATCATACGTTAACAGTAGTGTGTTACATATATATCTAAAGATAACTCAAAAAACAAACCCCAAAGCAAGCTATAGCCAGAAGAAATTGTCATCTTTAAGTTAGTTGCTGATGGTAAAAACCAGCATTACTCACACAGCAGCAGCGAGGCGGCTGGAATCTGATTCGTAGAGATCCCATTGACACCGGGCACTGTCCATAAGTGAGAAAGGCTGGTTCTCCATATCGTTTGCTATGATTATAAATAAAGTAACGTTGAAGAACCATCTGCACTGACAAAGTGAGTTTTTTAAGTCTGCTGTGCGTGTGTGGTTTGTGCCTTTCACAGAATGAAAAGTGGTATCTCAGCAGTGAAAGAGTTAATTGGTTGCCAAGTTAGCTATCTATTAGTGCTGAACAGATGCTGGGACCCAGCGAAGGCACTTGCTGCAATAATGGTGAGCATTAAAAGGTGGGAGGAATATAATAAATTAATGCCAGCTGAGCTCTGATTTTATTTCCTGGAAATGTGAGGTCAGCCTTGAAAGGTCATTACAGTGATTGCATACAGGAAGTGAGAATGAGGATGAAGGAGAAATAAAAACAACTGGAAATGAATTACAGAAGGTGATGCATATCGACATGACTCAAAAAAAAAGACAGTAAGGGTTTCAGAAAGTAGTATTGGAATACATGATGCCTCATGATGCTATTTTCCAGGAAATCGGCATTTTGGCAAGGTATATACCACTCCTCTCCCAGAGAGAAATATTGCAGTAGTCAAACCTGTCAGGTGCTCGTAAATTTCTTCAGAGCAATTGGAGAGCTCTTGTCTACTGCACCCTGGACTGTGCAGTCCAAGCCAGCAAACTGAGGAGAGAAACATCTGGGAATTGATTGGTAAAAACCAAAAAGGGAAAGTGGCTCAGCCCTTGCATGATGGCCAGGGTGTGACATTTTCCTAGTGGCCAGACGGGGCAGGAGTTCAGCAGCTTTGCAGTCCTTTAAAGAGACACAGCTGGTCTCTACTGCTTCCTCCCTGTTGCTTTCACCTCTTATTTTTTTTCCCCACAACTCTAACACAGCACCTTTGTTTCGGGAATATCCACACAGAATGTCTTTGTTCCCATAGTTTCAGTTTCTGATTGCTTTCTCCTGCATGTGTCCTGCCATGCCACTCATCTCCAGAGCAAGACAAGTCAACGTGAGCAAAAGACATCACAGGTTGCCTCATCAGTCGCTGTTTCCTTTGCTGGCATGCAGGGGAAAGAGCAAGAATATGTTGGATTAAGTCTCGATCAGTGAACACACACACATGCTCCAGCTTTGCCAGAAGAAGCCCCTATTGAAAGAAACGTTACCTTCATACCTGGTGTTAAGTTGCACGTAATATATGCAGAAACATTTTTAAAATAAAATGCACAGCAAGGGCACTGATGCAGACATCCTTTTTAAAGCAAATTATTCCACCTTTTCCATTGCTACATTCTTAGCAGCATAAGCTGTCTTGCAACAGCATGTGGCTGCTCAGGCGCGGAATATTCATTAAATGAATTCATACTGGATTTTTATCTTGGCACTCTGCCCACCGCACGTTTTCATGCTGAGATAAGAATGTTTAGTCATTTGTTCTTCATGTGTCTTACGGGCTTTAGGAAAAGAACCTCAAGGAAGAATGCTTTATAAGACCTTTTTATTCGTTATACCAAGTAGTCTTCCAGCATGCTGTGGGCACTCTTTGAGGTTGGCTTTGTTGGTTAGGAGTCGGGCACCTCTTGTGCTCTTCACTCCCAGATTTGTTCCCTGGCTGTTCCTGCCTTCCTGCTACCTTGTCCCAGCGTTGAAGAGCAATCCCGGACCGAGGGGACGGTGATGTGCAGGTCTTTGAGGCGAAAGCAGAGGAGGCGATTTTAGGAGCCGCAGGCCTGGAGGAACGGGAGGCTGTTGGTAATCCTTGTGCACGAGCAGGGTAATTGCCAGTACGATCAAAGCGTTTCCCAAAAGGTGTTACAGAGCAGTCCTTCCCTTCTGTGCCGTCACTGCGGAATACAAAATATTTTCCCCTTCTTCTGGTGAGAGTCCAGTCTTAGAACCTTGTAATTAATGAACATAATTACCTCTCTCTAATATGTGCATGGGCACCTCTTCTTTTTTTTTTTTTTTTAACCTTAAATCAGCAGACCTATTCCTCCAGGCTCTCAATACCTTTTTTTTTTGCCTTTACTTGGGGGAAGGCCCAACTAAATTGACAGGGCTCCCCTCAGGGCTTTGCTGGGGTTCTCCACTAGTGTTCTAAAACGTTAGTAAAAAGATGTGCAGGATCTTGTGTTTGAAGAAAAAAAAAAAAAGAAAAAAAAAAGTAGTCTATTTTGATCCAATATGTTGATTGACAGAGAAGGAACCTCCTACCGCTGACAGCCCTACCTCACTCTTTGCCTTACCTGAGGCGCGCTGTCGCGCTTCCCTCACGGCCGGTCGCGCCATACGGCTGTTGCGCCAGGTGGGGCTCGAGCGGCGGCCGCGCCTTACGGCAGCGCGTTGCCCTGGTGAGGACGGTGCGTCGTGCCCGCTCCTTCATCCGTTCAGCTGCGGGCGGTGAGACCCCGCTCCCTTTAACTGGCCGCGGCCTAACGGGGCTTCCCGCGTCCCTGGCCTCTGGCTGCGGCCATGGAGAAGTACCAGGTGCTGGGCCTTGTGGGGGAAGGGAGCTACGGGGTGGTGACCAAGTGCAGAAACAAGGAGACCGGACAGATCGTCGCCGTAAAGAAGTTCCTGGAAAGCGAGGAGGACGCGGTGGTGAGGAAGATTGCCGTGAGGGAAATCAAGCTGCTGAAGGTGAGGAGGGGGCCGGGGCGAGGCCAGGCGGCTGCCAGGGCAGTTGGCCTGCGTTTCCCAGCCATGCCGGACGAAACCGGTGGCTTTTTTGGTGGCTTCGCGTTTAAATTCGTAGCTTCTTCTTCAGCTGGGAGATGCTTCTGCCGCAGTGCCACCTCTGCCGCGCCTAGGTGCTTCATCCGGAGCCTGGCCTTTCTATTTTGAAGCTCCGGTGGTTATGACCCGCAGCCTGCCCTGCTGCAGGCTGGGGGAGGGATGGAGCTCGGCCCCCGTGTTCCCTGAAGAGAGAGAGCAGCCTCTGCTGCGCTCCAGGAGCCTCCTGGCGGCCTATTTGCAACCCTAGTCAGGTGTCTCAATACCTTCCTGAGGGCAAGCGTCTCCTTCAAGCTGAACGGTAAACTTGGTGTCTGTGCTCTAGGTTTTTCTTGCAGTAAAAGCGCTAGGTGTTTAGAACGCATGTGCCTGGGTTGAGAGTGACCTGTAGGAAGTTGATGGGTTCTTGGGAGGAAAGGAAGCTACTTCTTGAGACTGCTTAGTAGTCTTCTAAGGAGTGGTGTTTATCCAGCGAAGCTTTAGGATATGCCCCATCCCTGGAGGTGTTTAAGGCCAGACTGGATGGGGCTTTGAGCAACCTGGTCTGGTGGGAGGTGTCCCTGCCCATGGGAGGGGAGTTGGAACTCGATGATCTTTAAGATTCCTTCCAATTCTAACCGTTCTATGATTCTATAGGTGTAAATGTAAGCCATTGGGTCAGTTTTGAAAGGGAAGCACCCCTAACCGTGATTTCCAAAGTATAACTTAACAAAGAGACATGATTTGGCCCTGTTTGTATGTCCAGGAGCAGCCAAGCTGTGGTAGATTCTTTTAGCCGTTGAGTTGTAGCCTTGCAGAGCTGCTTTTCTCTTTGGCTGCTGCAGTACTGGATTTGCTTGGCTGAACCTGACTTAATTAGAATCTGGGCTGTTTATGTGCCCCGTATTCAGCAGGGAAAGGTACGAGGGAGGGAGTCGCGAGCTCTCTATTGCCTCCTGGTGGTAATTGTGTCCCCCTGTGTTGTGTACCAAATGTCGAGTACTTTGCAGCTGTGAATTTGCTGAAAAAGAAAGAAATGCTGAACTTTTAAAACCTACAGGTGAGTGGTGACCTGGATGCATGCCAGCGTGCCTAACCGGACTGGGTGCCAGTGTTAACCTGATACGGAAAAATGCTTCTAGGAAAGTTTTATTTGATTTTATTAATGGCACATTCCTGGCAGGCTTGTACCGCCAGCGAGAGGCTGGAGGAGGGCAGGTATCTCATTCCCTGAACCTTATCAATCAATGGCTAGCCCCTAGGCTGAAGCCAGCTGGCATGATGTCCTTTGCTGTTTGAGTGTGTGATTTGCCTGGTGTCAATTGTAGGTGCTTTATGTTCATCTAAATGTCGAGTTGTGCTTCAGCTTGTTGGCTTCTTATCAGCACTTTTATGTGGTGTAGCCTCATTGTGTGGGTTGGTTTATTAAAGGTACTTCACTACATGGGCTGTAGATCTGCTGTCTGGGAAAATACCCAGGAGCTTTAGATAAACAAGGTTTTGTGTGTGTGCTCCTCAGTGTTTTGTCATACGGTCTTTCTGCTTCCTCTCTTGGCTTTGTTCTTCCTACAGAAGCCTTTACAAGTTCCTAAACTTTCACTTCCAGATTATTCTGCTGCGTTCCTTTGTGAATAAGATGCTAAGGATGCAGAGTGGCATTCTGTGCCAGGATATGCATCTGTTGTTCTGGTTGCTCTTTTGACCACCTTCAGGCCCTGTGTTTGCTACTGTAGCCTCTAGCAGCAGTTGCAGTATTTTCCTTTTTCCCTTGTCCCACTGGTGGTGTGCACAGAAGAGTGCTTGTTCCTGTGTGTGGGCACAAGTGGTAGCTTTAAGCCTGGGGACACAGGTGATGTGTCTAGTGAAGAAATGAAGGAAAGTCTTATTACAGTTGGAGTGCTTCTAGGCTTTTCCTCTGATGCAGGGTGTCCTGGAGGTGGGAATACATGCAAGCCTGCCTCCTCTCCCCTTGGCTGCTGTAAGTGTGTCTTCACAAGTCTGCCAGACTGTAGTCCCTGTGCTGTGAAATTAAAAAAAGCTTACTGCAAGAGCTATGGACCCTTAGAGTTAATAGAAATGCATGTGCTGGAGCTTGAGATGCAGCCAGCAGCTCCAGCTGTTGCCCCCCTCAAGCTGTTTTAGAGCAGGTCTGTGTGAGTCTGGATTGTACCTGATCTGTTGGCCAGGCTCAGCTTAGTTACTGAGTCAAAGCACGTTCCACCTCCCAGGTGTGTTGGGAATTAACTTGTTTTCCTGGGTGAATGGGAGCTTAGCAAGGGGAACACTTCCATATATAGCTCAATAAGTGTAGCCTCTCACAGTGAAAATAAATACCTAGAGATTTAATCTTGTTGTTTCTTGACTGCTCCCTGTGAACCTTTTTTTTCTTTTTTTTTTTTCCCTTTCTGTTCAGGAGTTTGGGCAGAAATTTAATCGTAAAACCTCTCCAGGTCTCCTGTCCTGGGAAGAAATTATTCCTGAGAAAAGAGCTTTTTTTTTTCTAGCTGATTATCTTTTTTTTAATCTTCACTTTTCAGGCCTTGTAAGTAGTATAGGTCTCTGTCAGACGCAGGTGCAGGTTGGCTGGTGCTCCCTCTGGACTGGGAGAGCATTTTCCCTGCAAGTCCCTGTGCTCTGCAGTCCTTTTGCATCTTCCTTGGTCGCTGAGGATCCCTGGGCTGTGGTGCTGCCTTCAGGCTGCCGCCAGTGGTATTTCCCTGCTAGGCTCCAAGCTAATAAATAACTGTGCGTTGTAGCATGGTCTGTTTGGTTAAAGTGGCATGTGATTAAACAAGAAACCAGTATTATAAATGTGTAACAAATTGGAGGTGGATTCATGGCTGATCAGAATGTGATGACAGAGTGACTAGAAAACACAACAGCTTTTTTCATTCCTCTTCATTTATTTTTTTCTCTGAACTATCTTCAGCTTCCCCCTCTGTATAGTACTGGGGGGAAAAAATCCCTTCAAATCCTTGGCTTGTCAATTTTCTCCTTGAATCCAGTAGACAGTTTAATAGAAGCTGTTTAATTGTTAACACTATTATAGGTAAGAATGTTGAACTTTCTGTTTATCCATTCAATGTGCTTATATTCCTGCACATGTTAGTTACTGTAAATGTGTATTAGCTGGCAGTGCCAACAGAAATGCTTTGGGTATGTAGGAGCTTAGAAGAAAAGTCTTCTATCAGCCTGATTAGAAAAAATTAAAATACAGACGGTGAGTAGTCAGTGAGGAACTGTCAGCTAGGTAGAACAGAGAGGTATTGCAGCTGCTTTTGTTTTTCTTTTAAATGAGGATGTTACAGGTTTTTTAAAAAGACGACCTAGAGAAAGAAGAGTAAAGCTTCCTGGAAATGTGGGAGAAAAGAGTGGAATCACTTTGGGTTGTTGGGAGACGCAAAAAGTTTTCTTAAAACAAAGCATTGAGACCTGTGGAGTGATCTGTTGAATCCTGTCTGGAAGGGGTAGCTAGTGGTGCTCCTTGTGCCCTGCCCTGAGGGAGCAGTCAGGGTAGCACAGTGTTAATTTGTCACCTTGTTGAGATCTCCTAAAGGATTTTGAGTCACAGATACAGGCCAGTGTTATGGGCTGGCTGCATTTATTGTTGCTTGAGCTGTTTGTAAGCAAAACCAGGGAACTAGTGAGGAGTCTCTGCAGCTCACCAGTCAGGGCTAAATGCCCTGTTCTTCTCACAGACATACTTGGCAGCATGCTGGACTCTTCCAGTTCAGACCATCCTGCTTTGTCTTTCCTGCTAGCTTGGGGACCTCTGGATTTTCCTTTGCATGGCAAGTGTTTGTGGGAGGTGCTGTTAGGTGCCTGCTGTCTCTCTCGTGTTAACCACATGGTCCTCTGGAATTCTTTTCAGCTTCCTGAAGATTTCTTTCATGTACAACATAAGCTTGCTCTAAAGCTTGGCAAGATCAGGGCATGAGTTAGCGTCACCTCTTAGGTGAGGAGAGTATTGTGGGAAGCAGAATGCATGATATTTTCCAACAATAGTGTATTTTGAGCATCCCCGTTAAGAAGTGTCCTTAGTCAGTGTTTTAGTTATTTTTAGGTTACAAAACAGGTGTCTCCGTATATGAGATGGTGGAAATTCTCCAGATAATGTTAAAATAAAATTGGCAAAATAAAACCTATTCTAAAATATCAGTGAGCTGATTTTAAGAATAAATGAATGTGGGTGCCATGACAAGAGCATTCCAGGGCTGTGCACCAGCTGGGTTGCAGTTAAAACTATCTGGTTGCCGTTTACCCATTATAAGCTGTCAAGTTCTCACAAAGTATTTTCTGTTTTGTAACAGCAACTCAGGCATGAGAATCTCGTGAACCTTCTGGAAGTCTGCAAAAAGAAGAAACGGTGGTATCTGGTGTTTGAATTTGTGGATCACACAGTGCTTGATGACCTCGAGGCGTTTCCAAATGGACTAGACTACAGCAGGGTTCGGAAATACCTATTTCAAATTATGAGAGGAATAGCGTTTTGCCACAGTCATAATGTAAGTATGCACAAGAAGTCAGGTCTGCAGTTAACCTTGAGTGAATAAATACAGAAGCTTATATTTTTGACATATATTAAGACTTAGAGAAATAAAGCTTTGGCTGAAAAGGAAGAGTAGATCAGAAGGAACAGACATTAATTTCATATAAATTCAGAGCTTGATGTCAGTTAATCCAGTAGTCTGTCTCTGATCTGTGAGAGTGTTTGAAAGGAAGGATCCAGAAATCCATGGGGATCCAATTCTTGGTGGCACCTTAATGTAGGCTGGCTTATCTTGAAGGGGGAGAGAGTCTCTCTTTCAAAACTTTGATTCTGATAGTGTCTGTGTAAACATGTAGGCTTGCTTTTTTGCTTTGGTGTTTCTAGGTTTTTGTTCTCGACTGTTTTCTAACACATATGCCAATTTAGTCCTAATTGTTTAACTATATATATAAACACACACACATTTATTTATTTTTATGTTTGGGAAATTGTGTCTCATGAATTCCTAAAATACTCTTCACATTTAACTGCAAGGACATGCCTGTGGCCTTTGCAGTACTTACAACTTTTAAATTTGTGGTCCAAGCCAGATTTTCAAGCATAATATATGGTGCCTGTTAAAATACCTATAGAGAACACACCTGCACAACAGATGCAGAGAGATACATAAAATAAATGCTTCTGGGTGCAAAAATTAGAGGTTCTGTGTTTACCTGTGCACTTGGGTCAGCACCTGTTATTGACTATACGCATATAGTTGTTTCTTACAGACTCTGTATGTTTCCCACACCTACAAAAATGTAACTTTCTACCTAGATGTGAGAAATTGACCAGCTGACCAGAAATAGTAGCTTTACTGTGTAGAAATGGGAAACTTATTTGTCTTGACTTGCTGTTTCTCTTTGCAGATAATACATCGGGATATTAAGCCAGAAAACATACTAGTTTCCCAGTCGGGCGTTGTAAAGCTGTGTGACTTTGGGTTTGCCCGGACCTTAGCAGCTTCTGGGGAAGCTTACACAGACTACGTGGCAACCCGATGGTACAGAGCTCCAGAGCTGCTGGTGGGGGATACCAAGTATGGCAAGTAAGGCTGGCACACGAGGCTGCGGAAGGGTTGGGGGCTTGTGGGGAGTATGGAGGGGAGTGCTCTGTGTTTTGGGGAGGCAGGGGACTATTGCTTGGCAAACAGGTTAAAGGGATGCTGTTCAGCGTTTCCTGGTTGCGCACTTGTAAAGGTTTAAGCCTTCCTCTTCCCTCTCCTGCTCTGCAGCTAACGACTGCTGGTGCTAGGCTTTCCTGGATCAAAGGGTGAGGAGAGCCCTTACCATTCCTGGTCTTTTGTCTGTAGGAGCTTTTCAGTTGCCAATGCCTACTATAAAGGGAGGCTATGACTAGACTTCCCACTTGTACAAGTTGGAGTCATGGAGGGAAGACAGAGAAGTTCCTTCAAACAATACTAGATAGAGATTTTGGGAGGAAGGGGTAGGAGGTAGGGTGAGTGAGATTTTTCTTACTGGGATCCCCAGTGCTGCAAAACCAGCTCAGAACTTAAACTGTGTTATTCACAGGTCTGTTGGTACAATTGTGCAGGTTTAGGTATGTTCCTTAAACATTAAATTAAATTTAATTTTCAGTAAATGTGCCTGAAGAGCAGATGCCTGCAGAAAGAAGAGCTGCTTACCTTTGTGCTCTCTTAAGTCCAAGATTCTACTAAAGTGTTATGTTTTATTGGTATTTTTAAAGCACTGGGGTTTGGAACCTCATTTTACCTCTGTCAAGCTTCTGCTAGCATTTGGCTGCTTCATGAGCTGAATTCTTGCCATTCATCAGAGCACTTGTAAGCTTGGAAAAGAGCATCTTGCTGTTTCGGTGGGCAAAGCTGCCCTCAGGGCTCATAACCTGCTGAAGACATGCTGTACACTGGCCTGGCTCAGTCTTTAAATCAGAGACAAATGAAGCTGTGCTGAGCTAGGGTGTTGTTTTTTTTTTTCCAGGGCTGTGGACGTGTGGGCTATTGGTGCTCTGATAACAGAAATGCTTACAGGAGAGCCCCTCTTCCCTGGAGATTCTGACATTGACCAGCTCTACCATATCACTAAGTGCTTAGGTAAGAACAGCCTGTCAAGCTCCTGGTGCCTGCTTGGTAATGGAAGTGTCAAGTACATTTTGACAGGGGTGGGTGGGTGTGCATGTGTGTCTAGGGTGTGTGGAGAAAGGTTGTGGTGTGTACTGAACTGTTTCTGGGAGTGTGTACTCTTAGTGCCTTTTACAAAGGGAGAGCTAGGAGCTTGTGGGTCCAGCATCAACTCATGATGCACAGATAGAAACAGAACGACCCAAACTGTAGCCCTTACAGTAGTTGTTACCCAGTGTTTCAGCCTCTCAAATGTTTCACGGGACTGTTCTGTATTTCTTCCATATGGTTGCTTTGTTTGTGTGATTCCAGGTAATTTAATTCCAAGACACCAAGAATTATTCTATAAAAATCCCCTCTTTTCTGGCATGAGATTGCCTGAAGTGAAGGAGGCAGAATCTTTGGACAAACGATATCCCAAGCTCTCTGCTGCAGTGCTAGATTTAGCCAAGGTAATGAAAGTAACTGATTGTTTACTATGAGCATTTCTGTATTTACTTGTCCTTTGCCTTGAGGAACTGAATAAAGCCTACAGAAATGGCTGTTAAACTGGCATTCTTTCATCTACCCATGCGATGAGCAGCTGCTTTGGTTGGTAGCTGCGTGAGGAAAGCAAGGGTACAACAGCTACCTTCCTGGGTGACAGGGGAGACTAAGCCAGTCATCTCCAGACCCAAAATGGTCACTGCATATCCTCCAGGGATGATTTGTATCTCACAGTGCCCCGCTGATTAAGGTTTCTGAAGAGATTTGAAAGGTTAAGATGGGCTTGTTTGTTGAAAGCATCTCCCGTACACCTCACTGCATCATTTGGTCCTTTGAAAGATCTCCCAACCTTTGCCCCTCATCCACTTTGCTACCAAAGTGGATGCTTTGTAGATAATACACAGCCCCTTACTTCTTAATTGTTAGCAGAGCTGTGTGGATATACTGTTTTCTGCCAGCCTCCCCTCAACCTACTGGTGGAGGCGCTGCCAGCAAATAGCTTTGGATGGGATGAAATCCAAATGCGTCCCTTGTCCTTGGAGCTATGCATCTACTATGTGGGAGTTAAGAAGCCTTCAAGTTCGTAACAGATTCAGAAGAATCCTTCCAGAAGGTGTTTTTGTGCTTTCAAACAGTAGTCTGGAGCACCACTATGTTAGGTAACTAAACAACCTGAAAAACAGTTGTATTTGAAATGCCTAATGATTCTAAAGCCTTAGCCAAAACAAAGTGAAAATAAGGGAGGGTAACTGAGAGCAGAGCAATCTGTTTGTATGACAGGTATTCCCTCTGCAGTGAGTCTTTGTGAACAGCAGTGATTGGAATGGAAGCAGCCAGCAAACATTAAGCTTTTTTGGTATCAGTGTCCCTTGGGCCCATCAGTATAACAGGCAGTAGAAGGGGGAGTTGTGCAGCTTTTTTCCTGACTTCACTCAGAAGCGTTTAAGCCTTTGTTTCATTTCTAATGTATTTGCCTTCTATTGTTTACATTGATTTGACAGAAGTGTTTGCAGATTGATCCAGACAAAAGACCCTCCTGTGCTGAACTCTTGCAGTGTGATTTCTTTAACAAGGATGGATTTGCTGAAAGGTAAACAGTTCATTCCATGCTCAAAACAGACTAATATTAGAAGAAAGTTAAGCAGTTGTGCTTGAAGGTTGCATGCTGGGTTTGCAGAGCTGACATCCACTGTGTGTCTTGGGTTTTGTTTGGTTTTAGCCTTCCTGGAAATAGAACAGTTGAAAGGGAATGCATTGCAGCGGTGTGTTTGCCTCATTACCTTGTCATGACATTAATTCATCAGCGTGCACGCTGTGTCACACTGTATTGGGTAGTATAGTCTTGCAGTGTATTCACTGTCTGCATCTACTCCAGACTGGGATGCAAACGCCTTTGTGGCTGTCATGTGAAAAGTGTGTGCTTGTAAGATATCATTTATTTTAGTGGATGCATCATATTTGGCAGGCTTCTCAGTAGTTAAAAAGGTATGGTTTGCTTGATTACTTAAAAGGCTATAGGAGACTGGGCTGAACACCAAATGATGATATTGAGATTAACAGAAGCCCCGTTTTTTTCCCTTATATGGAATGTAGATTTGCTCATGAGCTTAAATTAAAGATTCAGAAAGATGCCAGAGACCATCAATTACTAAAAAAATCAAAAATCAGCAAAAGGGACAAAGATGATGTCTTAGAAGAAAGAAAAATCCTTGGTGTCCAGGTTGGTTCATCTTTTTTTTTTTTTCCCCCTGGTTGGGTGTGTTTTTATGTTTTAAAAACATTATATAAGTATGTGCAGCAGTTTTTCCCCCCTGGTTGGGTGTGGTTTTATGTTTTAAAAACATTATATAAGTATGTGCAGCAGTTTAAGTTCATAGCAAAAATATAAGCATGATTGTCCATTTCATTTTTTTAAAAAAGGCTAGGTAAAGTGTGATATGCCAGAGAAGCTCACCTTTGGAGGCTGCTGTGAGTCTAAACAGAGCTGCAGACCTTGTCACCCAATTCAAGGCAGTGCATTAGGCCTGTGCTCCCAGAGCTCTGACACTCAGTGCAGTACAGCCTGCAGGCTGCTGTGTGGAAGCTCCGTGCCTTTGATTCTAGCTGTTTGGCCCTTACAAGGTTGCTCAAATGGTTGTTTGGCCAGTCCCTTGCAGGTAAACTCTGTGGTGATGCAGTTACTGGCAAATATGGAGCTGAAGAGAGAATCATTTAGGAAGCACAACTGGTGTTGAATCACAAAAACATGCTTGTATGTTGTTGTTTACTTGTGTTAAAGCTCTGTATCCAAAATTACATGTTTTGCTTTCAATCAAATACTAAGGACTAGAGGCCTCAGAGTGACTTTGAGGTGACATTGGGCTCAGTTCTTATTTCATTTCTTTGGAAGTAACACAGGATGTGGCTGTTATTCTCTCATCATTTCTGATCCTATTCTAAGGTAACTTATTTACAGAGGGTGCTGGAACCCTAACAAGTCTCCTCCAGTTTGATGGAAAACAGAGGTTTTCTGCTAAAAACAATTCCATCTCTATCAGATTCTTGCAGAATCATGCAGGTTTAGGTTTAGGCTTTGGCTTTTATTTCCCCACATGTACTGCTCTAAATTACTTTTTAAACATGACTGTAAGAGAAAGACGATGCTTATCTTCCCAAACAGGATTTCAGCATCGACACGAAGAGCAGAGATGCAAAGCTCTTGAAGGCGAAGCGCTCTAAAGCTGATGCAGAGAAAGCAGACCGCTCCTCCAACCTGAGCTCCCTCTATGACAGTGCAATCAACCCATTTAAAATAAGCCCTCACACCAGCCTAAAAGACTCCAGCAGCAGCTTGGACTATGCCAAGAATGCAGGCATAGTTATCCCTCCCATCAGTCAGAACCTTTCTCCCACTACGGTTGGGATGGGGCCTGTGGCTGGGAACCTTAATTACAGGTAGGGGGGCAGAGCTAGAAGAGCTTGTATCCGTTGTCCCTGCTGCTGAGGAGCTGTAATGTCCTGAGAGAGGTCCAGGGTGATCATGTGGGAAGGCGAGGTGTGGGTTTGGGACAGGCCACAGCTAGGAACAGCCCTTGGGGGAAGGATTGTATGTTGATATCAAGGCCTGACTTCACTTTGAGAGTCCGTGCGTGTCCACGCAGGCACAGGCTCTCTTTGTTTCTGCGTTTGACAAAGTGCTGCTGGACAGCAACAGTTTGCCAGCTGCTGTGACACTGGCCTTTCTTTGACTCATGGCTTGTCCTCTGGGCCAAACCTCTCTGTTAACTGAGCTCACAAGGGATATTTTCCCTGTGAACCTTCTTTCTAAGCATTTAGTGATAGCATTTCTGGGTGTCTTGCATTTGTTGTTTTTACATTCATCACGTTGCTGCAGTTAATATAAAGTTTGGGGCATTTTTGGTTGCAGAATTGATGAGAAGAGTAAAAAATACTTGAACCCATTTCTGAAGCAACGGAAGCGTTCTCCAGCAGGCCATTACAGTGTAAGCTTGACATCGGTAAGGCACCTGTCTTTCCCCCTGGCAAAGCAAAACTAAATTCTGAACTCAAATATGTGTTTTATTGTCAAGAATCCCATCTGTTGCAGCCTTTGCCCTAAGTCCCAACTAGAAAGATATATTTTTTTTACTCCCTTTTTCCTATATGTATGTCATCTGTTATTCTTTGCTAATAGTTATGTGAAACATATTTTATGTCGGAGAACAATTTTATAGGAGAGGAGCAGTCCAACACAGGGATATCTGTGAGACTGAATGTATCCGTGGCCTCTCGCCTGGCCAGGACAAGCAGACCGTGTGTGCTACACTACTGAAGCAGAATTGAGGATTTGGATTTAACATGGTCAGGGCCTTATTTAGTCATGTCATAAATGCATTAAAAACAGATAATGAAAACAAGTGAAATGGAAAGCTTTCCACTGCACTCACTACCTAGGCAGTGTCCTTTCCACACCAGCAGGAATATTTGCCTTCCTGCAGAAAACTGATCCAAGCCATTCTTGAAGTGTTACATTTTGTCTCTCTTGAAAGCAGTCTCACTGAAGTTATTGTGGTTTTTTTTTTCACTGTGGCTGTTCTGTTGTTTTTAATATATAAATGACACTTGAGCAGAATGGATTCCTTCTCAAATGTTAGCATCTTTTATTTTATTCTTGCACAAGTTCAACTACAGAGGAACATTGCTGTGTTGATGCATTTTTAAGCTTGAAAATAGTTTTATTTTTTCTATGTTTTCATGAGCTGGTACTTATGCCCTTGATTACAGGTTACTAATGAAAAAAACATCCTTCAGGCAAATAGGAAAAAATGGGAATTCTCCAAGGCAGAAGTGCGTTTGCCAGAACTAAATCATCTCCCTGAACTGAGAGGAGTGGAAGGTATGATCTTTGATGTCCTCTAAATAAAACCTGTATTCTAAATAAGTGACAGGAAGCAGTGTGCATTAGATCAGTCAGCTCTTGCTTCCTTAACATGGTATGCATTGGTTGTGTTTTGCAGCGTGGCATCCCAGATTTCTGAAAAAGGAAAATAAACCAGTTTCAGAGTCCCGTGTCCCCTCTCTTGCTGCTATTGACCTCCATACCCCAAGCCTGGCCTCACAGCAGGTAACAAAGCAATAAAATGGTCTGTGCTGCTCTGTATTTGTTTGGTGCAGGGCTTTCTGAAAAGTGTGACCCACAAATTTCCAGTGTGATTTTTAACAGCAGCAGAACTTACCTTGGTTTCTTAACCTGAGGCCTTCTGGTGAGGTAAAAGAGAAGGATCAGGGATGAAACATGGGGCTCTATTAGTGTCTCTGAGGTTAGCTAAGTACTAGATTCTCACTGCTAAGATGGACAACATGAATTGTTGCTACTTAGCTGGCTGAATCAGGGTGAAAGTAAGCCTGATTTACCAGAGCTGAAGAGAGACCGGGGGGACATGTGTTTTGAGGAGAACTGTTCTTGCTGTGTTAGATGTTGAGGGGCTGAGTGAAGTAAGGAGAGGGGAAGCGTAGGAGCCTGGCTTAGGAAGAGAAGGGGAAATCCTGCATCCCCTCTAAAGATTAGTTCCTCTGTGACATTGAGATGTTTTTTGGGAGTTAAGTAATTCCAGAGGCAGTCACTTTGGCTACCTTGCTTCCAGTTGAGATTTTGCAGAACATACTGGGGCAGGGGGAGGAAGCATTTTTTAAGTCTGATTTGATTAAAGAATAGTTTTAAGTTGCATTTCAGTGTTACATATGTCCCTAGAAAGTGGTTTTGGATTGTTCTCTCTGTTTATACTACATTTGGAAATTGACCATATCTTTTTTGATTATTTTTTTTCCCTTTCCAATTTATAGCTGTCAGGGACCTTGATGCCAGATGCGTCAGAAGCTGGTTTCCCTAGAGTTGAACACTAGCCTTATGGAGAAGGAGATCACACCTGCCTGTAAAAGGTAGGCTTTAATTTCTGCAGCAAAGCCTTCTGGTGGCTTTAATTTCTCCTGTGTAGTCTTCTGGTATCTTTCAAATGAGTAGTTTCATGAACACTTACCTAGTTGGGAGGTGTAGTGGGAAAATCCTTTTACATAATCTTGATTAGGACTCCTTGCTAGGACAGACTTCTTACTGAGGGCAGCACACAGCTTTCTTTACAGGTACTGAAGCTGGCTATGGCAGGTAAACTGTTTTTCTGAGCTGAGGTGCTTGGCGTTGGTGTTGGCAGCTCATGAAATCGGGGATTGAGGAAGGTGATAGAATAACAAAGAGGAGAGAGTGGCTGCCTTCAGGTGAGGAGTGGAAAAAATGGATTGTATGTACAGCACTGTCAAGTGCGTCACTGAAAATGGACTTAGTAACCATGCCATGCAATCTAAATTTATTTAATGTAGCTTTTGATACCTCAGTGCTCTCCAAGCATGAGATTAGGAGTCTGAGAGAGAAGGAGGCTTACAAGAACTCCCGGCTGTGGGGTTCCCTTGTAGTCTTAGGATCAAGTTACTGAGTTCAAACTCTGCCACACTATTTGCACTTTCAATTAGCACTGCTTCTTACCATTTTAGATTGTTTTAAGCTGAGGCTTTTAAATGTGGTTTTAATAGTTTCTCATGGAATGAGACAAGGTGTTCTGGAAGGGTCTTCAGAGGCTGTGCTCCAAAATATCACCGGCTCTGTCAGAACCTTGTGTCCCGCTCAGTGCTGCAGGTACCCTGGTGCTGCTGGCATGGACGTGATCACATACCAGTCCCTCCGGGGAGTCTCCTGGTCACTGCAGGGATCACCAGGGGCCGCAGCCTCTCTCCTCTCTTATTTGCTGTTAGCTACAGCCAGCCACAGGCATGTCATGGCAATACAAGTAACTTGCAGGTGAAAACTGTGTGCCTTAGTATTTTTTCTTTTGGAGGCTTGTGTTTCCTTTGCAAGGAGAGGGAGCAACCACTGACTCTGAAATCTCTGCACAAGCCTGCACGTGTTCTTAATCTATATGGGTGCATTTGGCACTTACATGTGCGTGATATGATGGCTTCATGCTACTAGGAAGAAAGAAAAAACACTGGGGTGGGAAGCAATCCTGATAATGGAAGTTGGGGGGGAAAAGAAACCTTATTAAAGTTGTCTTGTCTGTGAAGCACAAAGGTGTAAGTGCACACACAGGTTTAGCAAGGTAAGGATGTGTAATAAATCAAAATAAGTGTATCATCAGGAAGTACCTCAGTGGTTTTGTTAGCCTGTTGGTAACATCATTCTGCTTTTCTTCTGTCGATGCAGGTGGCTGACACAGGGGGAACAAGCCCCCTCAGCGTCCAGGTGCTGAAGCTGCAAGGTCTCTGTGGGAGAGAGGAGGATCTCATGGTGGATGGCCATGGGAAGCGGCCCTGGTCCTGCCCCGGGACAGAGTTCACACTGCCGTTGCTGCTGGATTTCTTGCATGCAAAACAGCTCCTGAAATACTGAGCTTCTGGCCACGGCGCCAGGTCTTGTCTGAGGTTGCTCGGAGAAAAATAGTAGTGGTTGGTGTGTGACAAGGGCAGAAGCTGATTTGGAGGATTTGGAAGGAAGCTGGGCTTTGTCTAGCTGCTGCCCTCTTGAGGGTTTTCTCTTTAAAGGAACAGTGAAGAGAGTAGATAGCTGCTGAACTTGCCATGTTCTGCTGGGCTGCCTGATCTGTATGGGAAAGCACCTTTGCCTTGACAAAAGTGTCCGTGAAGAAGATGTTTGTGCAAGAAATACAACGTTCAAATGTGTAAATGTTCCCAGCTGTCCCTCTGAAACCCTTGCTAATGCTCAGCAGCGTGTGTGACCTTGTGTTGGGCTCCTTTTCCCTCCGTGCTTTCTCCCCGCCTTTGGGCAGTTGTCTGTCGGGTGTTTAACTGGGCCTGTTGTCTGGCTGCTGTCCATGGAGAAGGAAGAATATTGGTGTAAAATATTGAGCCGTGGTGCAGGTGGCTGTGAAATAGCTTCTGCGAGTGCTGAAGAACTTAATTTATCGCACCTTTAGGTCCCTTGGGGGAATGGGACATGCAAGTGTGGAACTCGACAGTGGCTTGTGAGGAGAGAGAGATGGCATCCCTTTGATCTCGGGACTGTTGAGGAACTGTTTTTGCTTCACTGCCCTTAGGTTGGCTGTCCTGTGCAGTCCCTACATTGCTCACAACTCTTTTCTAGCAGCTGGAGGCTGCTGCCATAGCTCACACCCCTGTACGGTGTAGTTAATTTTGGAACTTGTCTTTCCACAAAACGTGGCCTTTCCCATGGACTTATTGGGGCAGAATGCAGCGTGTCATCGTTTTCAGAGCTTTGTGGCCATGCTGCGTTTTGACACCTTAATATTTGTAAATAAAGGGATATGCAAATTCCAAATGTCTTGGTTCTAGTGCTTACAAATTTAAGATGTGCTCACTTAGTCTTCCCTGGAATTGAAAAATAGGAGTTTTAAATGAATCATAGAATGGTTAGTTGGAAGGGAACCTAGAGATCATAGAGTTCCAACCCCCCTGCCCTGGGCAGGGACACCTCCCACCAGACCAGGTTGCTCAAAGCCCCGTCCAGCCTGGGTTTGAACACTTCCAGGGAGGGGGCATCCACAGCTTCTCTGGGCAACCTGTTCCAGTGTCTCACCGCCCTCACAGTAAAGAATTTCTATCTAATATCTAATCTAAATCTCCCCTCTTCCAATTTAAAACCATTACCCCTTGCCCTTTCATTACGCTTCCTGACAAAGAGTCCCTCTCCAGCTCTCCTGTAGCTCCCTTCAGATCCTGCAAGGCTGCTATGAGGTCTCCCCAAAGCCTTCTCTTCTCCAGGCTGAACAACCCCAGCTCTCAGAGTCTGTCTTCATAGGGAGGTGATCCATCCCTCTGATCATCTTCGTGGCACTACACTGGACCTGTTCCAACAAGTCCATGTCCTTCCTGTGCTGAGGACTCCAAAGCTGGACACAGTACCCCAGGTGTGGTCTCACCAGAGCAGAGTAGAGGGGCAGAATCACCTCCTGTGACCTGCTGGCTATGCTTCTCTTGATGCAGCTCAGGATGCAGTTGGCTTTCTGGCTGCCAGTGCACATTGCCAGCTTGTTGAGCATCCACCAACACCCCCAAGTCCTTCTCTTCAGGCCTGCTCTCCAGCCATTCTCTGCCCAACCTGTATTTGTGCCTGGGATCGCTGCGTCCCAGGTGCAGGACCTTGCACTTGGCGTGGCTGAGTTTTTATTTATTGGTTGACAGCCATTTACCAGCCCAGGCTCCCTGTTGTCCCCCCCCCAGCAGCCCCCGGACACCAGTGTGCCCTTTACCTTCCCCTTGCCCTTTTTTTTCCTTCACTGCTGAGGATGAACTGCGCCAGGGTAGCCCAGGAGTACCCCCAGCCCCCCTTCCCCGCTGGCCGCAGCACTCGTTTCGCTTGCCACGGGCACATGCAACCAAGGTACTCCCTTAAAAATCCATCTACCGAGAGTTCACCGCTGCCCCGGGGGGTGGAGCAGCCCCCGGTGGGGAGCGGGTGCCTCTCCCGGCGCTGCCTCCGCGGGCCCTGCCCCAGAAACGGCAAACGCCTGGAAAACATTCCAGGGAAACCGCCTGGGTTCGGGGGAGAGGAAAGGACTGGGG